GGGGGGGGGGGGGGGGGGGGGGGGGGGTACCCTGTGAGTTACAGTGTGCGAGAGAGCGTGTCAGCTGTCAGCGTCAGTAGTTTCCCTCCATGTTGGAGATGATATAAGTTTTGTCTGGCCACACCCTCCGTCCGCGAGACGAGATTACACGGGGAGGCTTTGCGGCCGGCACGGGAGTGAAGAAATGTGCGTGTGACGGGCGCGCTGGACGCCGGCCAGGCCATTACTGTCAGGGCAGTGGATTAGCTGGACGTGAGCGGTGTTGATTCTCCGGGGCGGCCAAGAGACCAGCCAAGATTCTCCATTCATGAAGACGCCGTGTTTGTGTTGACCCTCATCCACAAATGTGTGCGTTTGCCTCTGTTATTTTTTCCCCCCTTTCTCTTTACAGCCAGTAGTTTTCATTGGCGGACGATGAAAGAAAAAACCTTTCCACCACATTATCGCAACAACGTGTGAGTGTGTGGGAAGACCCTGGTCATCCGGAGGGGTGGAATGGTCGCTCCTTCCCAGAGGCTTCCTCCTCACAACAGCTTGACTGAGCATTTGTTGTTTTGCTCTCGTGATGCGGTGGCATTTTCACAACATAGTAGACTAACCAATTCCAAAGAGAGCCGATTCATTCACGAGGGCTGTAATCCCAGCAAACACACGCAGGCAGAAGAACCTCCCGGATGGCACTTTTTTTGTTTTTGTTGAGGCCTTCTCGAAGAGAAAGCAGTGACACATTTCAGCGGCATGTCAACAACAACTAGAAGCATGACAAGAGGATGACTCACAGCACCACCCCAGATTACATCCACCTTCTATAGCCTCATATTACAAGTTTTAGGGGGGTCCTGCGGCCTATTCCAGCTGTTGGTGGGGCACACTTTGCAACACTTTGCTCCGCAGAGCTTTGGTATAACCTCCTCTAAATACTGGCCGTAGATATAATCCCTCTTAGACAATCGGTGTGATATTTGTTGCTCACACTTTGTGCAGTGAAGTGAAGTGCATTTGCTCCCGCTGCACTATAAAAGGGGCTCTTGGCACTCTGTGGGCGTGCGGTTCTTACCGGATCAGGATCCAGAAACTGGTTCATCCGCGGAGAGGCCACCTGCTGTCCCTCTCAACCTGCCAGCGTCACGCTCGCTCCCGCCCGGGTTCGAGGCCGGACCCAGAGGAACTAAAGGCAACAAAGAAACAGATTAATATGAAGCAGAAAATGTGCAGTCCAAAATGTGGTTTTTTCTGTCTTAATGAAAGATGAGCGTCACTTTTAGTACATTTTGGGAGTAACTTTACTGCTTGAAACAGGTTTGTGTGGTAAAATGGCTGTAATGACCCATCCATCCGCATTTGAGTGAAATGTGTCTAAAGGAATGATGACGGATGAAGGCTGTGATCTGATCAGCTGACTCCAGAGCTGCACCATGTCAGGATGATCTGCAGCTAAGCTCTTAACTAGATTTGAGGCGATAACGTCATTTTTGCCGGAGCGAAAGGCAAAAAGCATCGTGTCTGAGTCTATTTCTGGACCGCTGACGTCTGTCGATTTGATATTTGGAGTCGTGCTGATGTGAGATGGTAGGAATCAGGTGAAACTGGGCTGGTTCCTTCAGGTCTTCATAGACAAAAGGAGAGGAAGCGTATTTCTGTGCTGGTGTTGAACCTAAACATCAGATATCAAAGGTAAACATCAGAGGGGTTTTGCTTGTTTCTGTAGAAGAATCTGTAGAAACTTGGTCTGGGTGGTGTTTTTGGGAGGCTACACCATGATGTGACATGGCCTTTTTTTTTTTTTTTTTAAACCACTTGCATGCGTGCATTCATTTTGACTTCTGTTGCCATCTTTTGATCACTTGTAAATGTGGGAATACTGTACTTTATTCTCTTTTAAGATTGTACCATTAATGCTTCCTAAAACATGATAATTTCTTCCTGTTGACAGTCACACAATTCTAATCAATCCACATCCCACCTCCATCCCAAACGCCCCTTGGGTGTCATTAAGTTGCATTCCCATAAGGGATCTTGAATGACCTCACCACATCGATGTGTAAGTAGTGACGCAGGACTCTTACTGTACAGCAAACAGCTCACTTTTGATTGTCAAAATGCGATTTCAAAACAAATTTACCTCAGTTAGATCATAACTAAACATCTTTGGTTTCAGTTTCCATCCATATCCCATTACTTGATTGACTTTTTTCCCCTTCTGTTGGATCTGTTTTTGTTTTCTACAAGCTGACATTGACAACATTTGATGACAACAACTAAAGATCTGTTGATGACACTTGCGGTCCTGATGATATTTGGCAGGCTGACTCTAAAAATACAGACTCGATGTAACCTGTTGCAAGCCTGAATAACTACTGGGAAATATTTGACATCATGGTCAGATGATTTTGTTGTTGAGTCAGCAGCGATTCAGACAAGAGACACTATTTTTTCCCTTAAAATGACTCAAACTAAGCTAACTGATTTCCAATAAATTTGGAAAGCTGAATCATGAAAAAAGAGAATTTTTTTTTCTGTTAATACTGTGAAATGCAACGTTCTCTCTATTTCTGAGCATCGTAATTCTATTCATGGCAACTTGGCTTAAAATCATCGCCATCACCGCCTTAAAAATATTTAAATCAGACAAAAATTACCCCGAAGATCAATAAAACCAATAATGTAAAATTAACTCGTGTCCTGCTAGCGATTGTAATTAAGAGAGAGTTGCCTCTTCTCCTGCTTGTGTAATTCAGTCTGCGTTTATTATTCATGAGCCCATCTCCAGGTTGACTTGGATGAATGGCAGTCTGACTACAATATTGCAGTAAATGCAGATAATAAAAGATGTAAATATGCTAAATCAGCTTCAGCTACACTTTGCTTTGCGCTCATTAGGAAACTCCTCACCTGGTGTATTACAAACTGAATGTGATGTTTTTAGGTTGGAAACCCAAAGACTACAACACCATGAAAAACAGAACAATTCTACACTCAACAGCCACATTTTGGGTCAATTAAATGTCAAAGTGAAACACACTTGAGATATTGAGATGGTGCTAAAGTATATTTGAATATCTGAGTGGACTTACTTGGCCCTTTCGTCCACTCAGCTGTCCGTCCTCTCAATTTCTATGAGGTATAATTTGACTTTGGTCTCTTCACGCTCTGATTGGCTCGAAATAGTGATGTGTAAGGCAGCTGCCGCTTTATTTGAGGCTCATCTCAGTGGGTCCTTTGTAGGATCATGTCAAAGTTTCAAAGCGATGTCACGTAAATGAGGAGAAGGTTGAACTAAGAGGAAACAGACAGGAGCTGCTCTCTGGTGCAGAATTCATGATTCTGCTGGCCAGTTTCATGCACAGAGCTGTTTAAAAGCAGAATAAAATCAATTGAACCCAATAGATTTGTTTCTTCTCAACAAAAAAAATTGTATTTCAATAGTTCAATTTTTTATTTTTCCACCATTTAATCAGCTCCAGTTTCTATTGTTACCTGATCCACTTCCAACATAAAAATTGGCTACCATACAAATAGTACACAACTCAGGGCAGTGTAACCCCTGTCTACCCTTTGTATCATCAAAATGGGAGAAATGTTTTCTCAGTTCTTTTTAAAAGCTTGTCTATTGCCTATTTTGTTGTTGAGTGGTTCTATTACCCGTACAAGCTGAGTCCATGTAGTGGCCTGGGTTTGGTTCATTTTTCCTTTATTTTGAATTGTTTAGTATTTACTAAACAAAAACTATGATATCTATGATTATGAATCTGTGTATGTGTTAGAGAATGAACTTCGTATTTAATGGTATATTCTGTATTTCCTGAAACAGCCAGAGAAGCCACGCAGACCAACATCTTAGACAGGATCTTTCATGCGGTGTTTTGACATTGCAACACTTCTTCACAGCACTTTTTTTTTAATACTGACTCAGGTTTCCAGTAAGGAAATATCATGAATACTGAGTTTGGTGGAAGAGTTATTGATCTGTAGCGGCTACAATAATCCAGTGGTTTGTGTGTTACTTATAGATGTGCCAGTCCGAATACATAAAAGCTGCTCCGGGCTGTTCAGACTATTTAAGCCCTTTATCCAGCAATTTACTGCTGATCTATTATGTTTTCATACATGCTTTTATTTGATATCTACTATGTTTTCTCTGTCTGTTAAAAATACCTCAGAGGATTCCTTACTTGCTACCTTTTCTCAAGCTTTGATGGTTTAGAATTGGACTGAAACATGGAATCCATTTGCTTGTATTACTTGTTATATTGATATTTACTGAGTAACACCCTCGAACATGCAGCCTAAGTGTCTGGAGGCAGGATTTTATGACATTGCACGTACTGTACAGTAAACAGGTGACATACCATCAATGAACTGAACCACCTTTCTGTCCTGTCAGCAGATTCTCTATCAGAGGTACAGCAGTGAGAATTTAACACAGACTTCTATTTATTGTTCTCGCACATCGACGCAAAGCTCAGAGGGCCTGGTGAGAGCTAGTGTGTGATTAATAGTAGCAGCCGTGACTGTTTATCTGTTAGCACACACACATACCCACACATGCGTGTTCACAGGTGAGACGGAAAGAAAAGGGAAGCCTTGATTTATTGTATGGAGTCTATATAGAAATGATATATTGCTCCAATTACCAATTTCTTAGTTTCCATAAGGAAGAAATCCGTTTTTTATCCTCTGACAGGAAGATCTGTTTGGGATGGTGGCAAAAGGCTAATTAGTCTCTCTCTCCTCTTTTTTCTCCTCACAGATTTCCCCCTCCTCACCTTACTGACCCATGAAAGAAACCATGCCGGTCCTCACAGCAGGAGCAGGTGAGACGAGCTGACACAGACGCTCAACACAGAGCGTCCACGCGCCTCAGGCCGGGCTGTGCTCCGTCTGCTGGTGTTAACACGCTGTTTTCCACGTGTGTGTGTGTTCCCGCTCCGCTCAGGGCTGCACGAAACTCTGGCCCTGCTGACCTCTCAGCTGCGGCCCGATGCCAACCACAAAGAAGACATGGTCTTCCTCAAGGATGTCTTCAGCGAAAGGAGTCTGGGATACCTCATGAAGGTGGGACAATCTCTTTTGAGCTCTTTTTTTAAAAGAAATAATAGAGTGAACCATTGTTCTTCTTATGGGTGTTTTATTTTCAGGGTATGTTACACGTTTCCGTTTGATTTATGCAAAAATTAGTTAAAGATCACCATTGTTTTTTTGTGCAAAAGTAGGTTTTGATTTTTCTTGTACAATTTTCAGTTTGATGAAAATAAAACAAAAGATTTTCAATTAACTGAGCGGACAAAGATATACATTTGGTTTCTGGACACTGCTCTATTGACCTTTGATCTTTGTTTTTCGTCAAACTGTCCACCGCAGATACACGAAAAGCTGAGACAGTACGAGCGTCAGAGCCCGACACCCGTCCTCCACAGTGCCTCTTCTCTGGCCGAAGATGTGAGTTTATCACACACACAAACTCCTCCTAAACCTATCCCTCATCCCTGCTCTGCTTTTCCGCTTGGGCCCAGCAGCCACCACCACCGACAGAGACGTAATGCAAGTTTCAAAAAGGAATTTTAATGTTCCCAAAGTGCTGAGTCATCCCGGTGCTCATCTAATGAAACTCCACATCCTGCAGCTCTCACCGGTTATCAGTGGGAGGAAACTGCTGACATAAGCCGCTTGCTACTTACTTATGTGCACGTCTGTGTTTTGGTCTGAAGCTGTTCCACAGCGAGCTGCGGCGTGCCCGGCGTGCACGCACGTGCACAGTGAGGGAAGAGACTGCACAGGCTTTTGTTTTGCACCTTTGCAGGTGGCAGAGGAGCTGCAGAGTGGGCCGATGAGCAGCGAGGAGAAGGAGCTCCTGCACCTGCTGACATCACCACACCTGAAGGTAAACAGATCCCCTTCAACTTTTCCCCCCTTCACACGGGCGTTCGTCCACGCTGTCGTGTTTTTCAGGATCTGACATCTCCGTTCTCTGTTCCAGGCCGTCCTCTCGGTGCACGACACCGTGGCCCAGAAGAACTTCGACCCCGTGCTCCCGCCTCTGCCCGACGACTTCGAAGACGAGCTGGAGGAAGAGTCCGTGAAGATCGTCCGGCTGGTGAAGAACAAGGAACCTCTGGTGAGAGCGTGGCAGGGGGAGGAGGAAAAGGCAAACACCAGAGTCTGCAGGAGAACGAGATAAAAGCAGACGGGATTAAGTAAATAAGTGAGAGTCTGTTCTGTTGGTGATTCTGTTTCGTTTTTGCTTTCCAGGGAGCAACCATCAGGCGTGATGATGGCACCGGCGCGGTGATTGTGGCTCGGATTATGAGAGGAGGCGCAGCTGATCGCAGTGGTAAAGTACTGCTCACCTTCTAAAAGCCCTCCTTTCTTTCTGCTGTTTGACTAACGTACAAAAACTGCTTTTGTATGTGTACTGTCGGCAAGGAACCCTTCAACTGTCAATCATTGACACACATCACATAAGAGAGAAAAACTAAGAACTATTTCATACTTTTGAATGAAATTGTCAAACTGAACTTCAGAACATTCAGAAACAGTAAAGATGATGATGTTTTGCAAAAACAGGCTGAGATAAAGAAATTATTCCAGCATCGAATGAGAAATTCACTGCAGATCAGAAGAATAAAAAGAACCTCAACCTTTGTTATTTTTCTGACTGAAAATAAAGCATAAATTCCGTGTTGAGCCCCTTGCATCAAACTCAGGCAGGCGTATGCAGTAATGTAGCGCATGCTTTCAGGCAGACTGGTGCCGAACTCCTAAGCTTCGGAATATGCTTATTAGATTATTTCTCTTTCTGCACCGTGAAAGAACAAAGAAAACAATTCAATGTAAAATATGCAAGTGTATTCGATACTGAAAAGGAAAGTGGAGCTGAGAGACCAAAGCTCAACGGGGAGATGTGCTGCAGGAGGAGAAAAATGAGAGGAATGTTGTGGTTTTGATGAAACTAAAGCTCTGCAGAAATGAGAATCTCTCGCACGATACACACTCAGTAAATTTCCTTACATGGACGTGACCATGACTACACTATATGTGTGCGCTTTTCCACCAGAAAGCAGCTGTAGAGAGTTGAGATGTGCCCTGAGGTTAATACATACGTTATGCATGTATTATTGAACCGTGCTGTCTGATCCTGGGAGATAAATCGATGTAACATCCTTGTTTTATTATTGTGTCTGCATCTGAACAGATTTTATTGTCACTGTTTCTCTTGCTGTGTCTGATGCTTCCTCTCAGGTTTAGTGCATGTAGGGGATGAACTCAGGGAAGTCAACGGAGTCTCTGTCATCCACAAGAGGCCCGATGAGATCAGTCAGATGCTGGTAGGTCCTTTCACCTTACCTTTTGGAACTCAAACTACGTTGATATACGGTCAAGGCATAAAACATTTACATTTTTTAAGTTTGTGTGTGGCCATTAATTGCTAATATACATCCCTGTAGTCTTTCAGCCCCCTGTCTGACTGGTATATGCCTTTGTAAATCTTTTTATAAGGAATGTACAGTATTTTCTTTCCATTGCATTATGTGGTTGCTGAGGTGAGATTTCAGAATGATGAAAAAGCAAAAACAGAGCAAAAACTGTTTCAAGAAGATATTGCTTTTTTTTTTGCCAGGTATTGTACAGTATATTCAATTCTTATTCATAAAGTCTACATCCAAAAGATACTATAGAGATGGACCAAATTTCCCATTTTTGCAAGAAGCTTCTCAAAAAAATTAACCATTTTATTTGTGCTGGTGAAAATGACAGAGTGAGAAAATAAGTAAATAACTTTTTCATCCCAAATCATCCCGAAACCGCTCTGGCAAGAAAATAGTTTTCATCAAACGTGCGTATTGCTTCCAAAACAATCCCGACACACTGAACTCAAATCTAAAACATTGGTTTTTCTTTGATAGATTGCTCACACTCAAAGTATGTCTGACTTGGTTCTGATTCTGCAGTTGCAATCTTCCCACTCCTACTTGTCTATTTGTGATCTAGTCCCAGTCCCAGGGCTCCATCACTCTAAAGATAATCCCGGCAATCAAAGAGGAGGACAAACTGAAAGAGAGCAAGGTGGGATGGAGCATGACTGGCTGAGCCTGATTTTTTGTGAACTGTGACTTATTCATCCATTCTTATTGGCAGAAACAAAAACTTAAAACGTCATTTTGAATCTGTCTGAGCAGGTGTACGTGAGAGCGTTATTTGACTACATCCCGCTGGAGGACAGGGCCACGCCGTGTCAGGAGGCGGGCCTCCCCTTCAAACGGGGGGACATCCTGCAGGTGGTCACCCAGGATGACCCCACCTGGTGGCAGGCCAAGCGCGTGGGGGACAGCAACCTGCGGGCCGGACTCATCCCCTCCAAGCAGTTCCAGGAGAGGTGAGCACACCCCCGCGTCTTTACAAATTCCAATCCCGATTTACCAGGGCCAGCGGTTCCCCCCCCAGACACACCGTCGATTCGTCCCATTCAGCTATTTGTAATCTTTTAAATCCTCGTTCGCGTGTTCCACTTTCAGAGGTCAGCTGTGATTAGATGGAGCATCAAAACGCCACGAAAAAAAAAAAAAACGAATTGAAACGCAGCGTAGAAATGGCGCTTGCTGATACTCTAAGTGTCATAATCCATGGGTAAGATGATCTGAGCTGGCTGGGATGCCTCTGCCAAACACCGAAGCTGCAGCTGGATTAAAAACCCCAGCCTGAGCACAGACACAGAGGGGCAGGACAGCATACATGTGTTTTTAGGTTCAGTTAAGTCTCGGGATGAAGCACCGCCGTGATGTTTGCTCGCTGCTGGGTTGAATGTTGCAGCAGTAGCAGGATCTCCGGCTTCATGGATGGATTGCCGAATGGATTTAAAAGCTTTGTTGGAAAAGTCAGATACAGAAATTATGATCAAAAGCTTAGAAACATTGAACAAGAGGCAGAAACAAAAAAAAATGTATACAGTTCCCTTGCATGTCTGATCTCACTGCCCTTTTGTGATTTCATCTGCTATTCCTGACGCCCCTCCTGCTTTCTGCCCACTGTTCTTTCTCTCCCGATGATCCTCACCCTGCCTTTATCTTCTTTGGGTTCTTTGTTGTGCTGCACATTTCTCCAGGCGACTGGCCTACAGGATGAAAATGGGCACGCTCCCGAATCCAAAATCCCCCAAAAAACCTGTTTGTAAGTTTCTGCTTTTCAGAATTTCATCTCCTCTTCTCTATCTTTCCACGATTCACCACCTGACCACAAACCACCTCCAACATAAACCTTTTCTTTTCTCTGTGAAAAATTGCCCGTCGCCGTCATCACGAGACAATTTCTCACCTGGCTAAACGATGCAATGCATACATTGACATTTATAGAGCCTCTCTTTCATTGATTGGCATTTTTCCACCAGTTTTATCTGATCCATTAGAATTCATTGACCATCCTCTGATGCAGGCATGTTTTTAAAGAGATGTGAGAGACAGAGACGGAGCAAGGGATCAAAGATATGAATGAATCACTTTCATGTTTAGTCCATCTGGCCAGCTAGTGGGCTGCTGGTTCAGCCTGAGCTGCCTTAACAACAATCTGCAAATTTAACCTACTGGATCAGAGACTGTGGTGATGTTGGCTATACATCCAGGTGACTGCAGGAAGCTTACTTTGTGGAGCGTAAGCTACAGGCAGTCTGAGCTTAGCCGGATGGCAAAAACCCTGCAGGGACTCTCCAGGCCTGGCCTCCGTCCAGCCCAGTACCAGCGGGGGCTTTTAAACGTGGCTCCCTCTCTTCGTCTCTGACGTCCGTTTAATGACAGATCCTTACATCTAAAACCCATTAAACCTCATTCTCCAAACGTAACTGTCATGGATTCAAAGCGCTTGCCCTGTGCCTTTTTTTTTTTAACAATGTTTCCCTCTTTTTGATCTTTACTGTTTTCTGTCATCAGCTGAACAAGGATGTGAGAAAGGTGGGTACATGCACACAGTGAAACATCCACCCGCATAATGCACCGGAAAAATGTTCATGAGGCCCGGCGGCGTAGATGCTAGATTTTGCATGAGTGTCAGTGGGGTGTGCCTTTGGGATTTCTGCTGCTTGCAGCCTAATTCTTTCCCTCCCGCTGTTAGTGTTCCAGACAAGAATAGAGATGTTTCGTGAGCTGTTTTTGTGTGTTGTGAGGAAGCAGGTGATGTGAAGGCAGAGCAGAGCCCCCAGAGACTTTGGCGCAACCAAGCAGAGGTTGTTAAAGATAACAATGGCTCCTCTTCTGCGTCATCCTCACCTCCTATTATCTCTCAGTTTCCATCTTCGCGCCGTACTCTGGACTCTGCAGTGTCCTATTTTTCTATGTGTGTTTTTTTCTCAACGCGATGCATGCCGTCGTTTTAGCCGCAGAAATGTGACACGCTTCTCTGTTCAGGAACTCTGTTCTTGTACATCTTTGGGGAGGCTTATGGTGCACAGGTTTGGCTCACAGCAGGCAAACGAATCCTCACTTTTTTTAATCAAGTATCTGTTAGTGGTTTTTTCCTTCAGTATCTCTGGGCTGTCCCTCTCCCGTGTCTGCCTGCCTGTGTCTGTTGGGCGCTGCCCCCCCCCTCTGGTTTCCTCGGCCTGCCCGCCCGCCCCTCTCTGTAACTTTTCCAGGTCTCTTACCCAGTGCTTACCCCCTCTCTTCCCTGCTTGCCTTCCCACAGAGGACTGTGACTGTGAGGGCTATTTCAATGGACAGTACATAGGTGAGAGTGTGCACATCTTTCTCCACCACCTACTTCCTCACTGCTCTTTGCCTGCTGCAGCCTGGCTGTGCGCGAGGGGGGTCGAACTGACCGCTTTCAGGGTTGTCTTGTCTGGGGTTGAAGGATGAGAGGAAGGGTGAAGGTTTCACTTGATCATAAGAATTCACAGGATTTCAGACGGGCCAAACTTGAAACGTTTTTTTTTTTTTACATTCTGCACTGATATGAGTGGGCAGGTGCTCAGAGAAAGTTTGCCGCACACTTCTGAGGAATCGCAGTTTTAAATGAATAACTGTGTTTAGTCTGTGACAAAGCTGGTTGTTAGATGGTGAATAATAAACCTAGAATGAAAAGTGCTCATTTATTGCAAGGAGAACAAACAGACCTAAGCAAATATGACAAACTTGAGAATTTCCTGCTGGCTAAAAGCAGTTCTGGGTAAACTGGTTTGGAAGCTAGAGCAAAACTAAAATTAGAACAAAATTTTAATCAAGCAGACAGATCTTTGCAGATGTCTGGATTTTTTGTTTTACATTTTGTTTTGTTTACAGTAAAAACACACACACATACATACATATTACTATTATATTGTATATATATATATAATATTACTATTATATATTGTAGTAATAGTTGTTATTTTTCTGGGCAATTAAACTTTAGTGCTTTAGTCTAGTGGTTTTTGCATCTTATAAACTAAAATAGATGAAAAATGTTGGAAGAGAGGAGAAACTGCTACATACAGCTTTTTTATCTTCCCATTTAGAATATAATTGATTTATTGGGAACTTGCTTGCATTGATCTCTTATCTGGAACTAAACTTGTTCCAATTTACTTGAACGAAAGTAACTTACAGTAGCCATATATCCTGCTTAGTACAGGCTCTGTCAGCAAAAACTGTACTGCACACACTTCAACAGATATGATGCATACGTCTAATAAAACGTTGCTAGTTCTAATGGTCAGGTCTTTTTTTTTATCTTAAAAGCAAAGACACATAAGACCCACATTGATAAAAATTCAGATATTTGAAAATACAGTATAGCCAGAGTGCAAACGTGTCCTTTAATGGAACTTTAGGGTTGTATAATTCTCCTCTCCAGCCTTCCACTGACCTCCCCTCCAACACCCCTCTTCAACCCACCCTGACCCCTACACCCCGCCATGCTCTGCTGCTCGAATGACGCTGAACACATGGAGGGATCTAAACCACAGCTGAAAGCTTAACAGCACCCTCTTGCTGTAAAAAAAAAAAGAAAAAGAAAAAAATCCTTATGAAACAGCATCTGTGCTTCCTGTCGACCTGCTTGGAGCTGTAAAAACCCTCTCCCTTCATCCTTCCACCCACCGCCTCCTCCTCGCAGTGTTTGGATCCTCTGTCCTCCCTTGCATCTGACTAACTCTGTCCCCGCTGGTGTGGTCTGTGCGCTGCTCCCCTCCTCCTCCTAAACAACTCCCCTCCTCCCTCCCCCCCCCTTAGAGGACCCTGCTGCGTTGGACGCATTGCACACTCAACCAGGCACGTTTGTTGCTCGTTCACCCTTGTGTGGAGGTGTGAGGCTGGGTTGTGTGATGCTCTAACGCCAGTTATAGTCTCTCCTAAGTGTAAAGCAGTGGCGCCCTCCTGTGGCCAGGTGTTTTCCTGGGAATTTTATTCAGGTACAGTGCCCGGCTCACTCGTGCAGGTACACACCGCAGACGGGGGGGATCCAGGCAGCTCTGGTCGTGGGAGACTGCTTCTTCATGTAGTTTCTCCCAGGGCCAGGCTTCCCTGAGGTTCCTGCCTCAGCACTGTAGCCTTTTTCAAAGCAGCATGCCTTGAATAAAATGTTGAAAAGGATTTATCGTGTCACTGAGATGTGATTTGAGCTGATGAAGATGTTTTTGCTAATCCAGAAGAGGACGCATCCATTTCAGCTTTTAAGTAAAACGTTTACTGTAACTTTTTTGCTGCATGTGATGCGATCATTAGTTGAAGCATGTAAACTAGCTGCTTTGAAGGTCTGTTAAAATCCCACTTTTTACAGCTCAGATGAGTGTGAGCAGTTTTATTCTCGTGCACCGCACACAACTGTTGTCTAAATGCATGACAGTTGGTGTGTTATTTCACCGCATTTATGATAGTTGTGCACAAGTTGTGTTTGTGATGTTTGTTGGTTGTGACTAGATATTTAATCTTTTCTGCTCCTGTATTCTCTTCCTGTCTGTAGCTGGTTTACGGAGGAGCTTCCGCCTGAGTCGAAAAGACCGGCAGGAATCATTTGGGGAGGGTTCTGATTCTGGAGACCCCGAGTTCCTGACCTATGAGGAGGTGACCCGCTATCAGCAGAGGTCCAATGAGAGGCCACGCTTGGTGGTTCTGATTGGTAAGGAGGAGCCATATAGAAGCACAAGCAGAATCTTGCAAAGGATGGAGGCAGATGGGGTTCGAGTAAGTAAATGTGTGCAATAATGAACCTGTACTTTGTCTTCCAAAGGTTCTCTGGGAGCACGAATCAATGAGCTGAAGCAGCGTGTGATTGCTGATAACCCACATCGTTATGCAGTGGCTGTTCCACGTGAGTCGCTCCACATATTTATGCATTTCTTAAACCATGGAGACCAACAGGCAACACATCCCTTTCAATTTGTCTCTTGTTCCAAAAGATACCACTCGGCCTAAGAAGCCTCATGAGAAGGATGGCGTGGAGTACCACTTTGTTACCAAACAGCAGTTTGATGCTGATGTTTTGAACAACAAGTACGTTTCTGTTTCCAAGTTTGATTTTCAATTTGTATAATTCTTGTATAAGTAAAGGTTTTATTTTCTTATTTTCTAGGTTTATAGAGCATGGGGAGTACAAGGAGAACCAATATGGCACCAGTATAGAAGCTATTCGCTCTGTGCAGGCCAAGAAGATGTGTATAGTGGACGTGCAGCCTGAGGTAAGGGTCAACCAAACCTCGCAGACGGGTCAGGATGTGTTGCAGTGTCCAGGCAGGGTGTCCGTGTTTTCATGACTTCTGTATTTCAGGCCCTGAAGAGGCTGCGGACAGCAGAGTTCAAGCCGTACGTTATTTTTGTGAAACCTCGTGTTCCTGAGAGCAGACGCCGGCGCAGTGCAGCCACCTCTCCAGGAGGGGCGGAGCACGGCCGCGTCACGGTGAGTCACCATCAAACCACCATACAAAGACTTTCAAACACACACAACCATCTTTTCAGACCACTTTCTGTACGTTATTAGTTTTGTTATTTGTTCCACTCATCTTTAAAATATTGGCAGCACTCATTAAGAGCTTTCAGTTGAAATATCTTGGATTTCTTTTTCAGGCTTTCAGTCATAGATTTTTACAAATCAAAGCTATTCTTTTCAGAGAAGAAAGTTATTCCTCTCATTGTGCTCTCATTTACTTCAACCTACCAGATATCTGTAGAATCTGAAATATACTTCTGTCCCTGAGAGGCAGAAAGTTGCATTAAGCATCAAAAATACATACACTGAGTTATTAGCTGTTCTGGTGAAAACCTGCTCATTGGTAACTTATCAGAATTTGTCCCTGACTCTCCAATTGGAAGGCAAAATATAAATGAGATGTGTATTCCATTAATTTATTTTCCCCACTTGATGACTTGCCTCTTGACATCTTCAAACAGGATGAAGACCTGCAGGAAATGCGTCAGTCAGCCATTCAGATCGATCAGCAGTATGGGCACCTGGTGGACCGAGTGCTGATCAAGGAGGACTCGGCCAGTGCCTGCTCAGAACTACGAGGCATTTTGGAAAGGTTGGAGCGAGAGTCCTTCTGGGTGCCTCTCAGCTGGATGCGGACCTAAACGTAAATCAGCTCCGGCCCTCGTCTAAAGAGCAGCCAGACTTACTGTGAGGTGATGGAGGAATACCTCAGTTTCGCAGCAGATGACCAACTCCCCCAATTGATTCGTAGAACCAAAAAAAAAAATAAAGAAACCTAGACATTGAGTTCCGATTCAAGCGTTTAATCAAAATGAAACATAACGGAGTCATTTTTGTGGGTTCGGAAGAATGAACAAAGTTACTGAAAGTTACTTAAATTCATAGAATTATATAATTTGTTTTCTCAGTACCAAATTGCAACTTTCTCGGAATTTAAAATTTCATCACCAGGGTTCAGACGCATAAAGAGTGTGTACACAACATATCTGCAGCATCTCAGTCATGTCACATCTATAAATTGTGAGTAAATTATTCCACCTCTCACCAGTCCGTCCCAAACCAACCATGCATCTGGAACCTGGTGCCACCCCCCCCCTCCTATTTCATGGGACGTATAACAAACAGAATGCTATTCCTCCTAATGCTGCACTCCCTGGCTGAACAGGTCAGCTTTGGGATCTCACTCAGAGGATTGTTCACCCAGCTTTATCATGACTCCTGTTGGAGTATCTTTCGGTAGCATGATTTTTCTTTATTTTAGAGCTTATCTTGATGCTGAATGCTTTTTTATTTGAACTGCTCATGCATCCTATACAGGACAACAGAAATCATGAACCGATTGCCATCTGAAATCCATGCAAACTTCTATTCATTTCATTACCATAAACAGAACCAAAATATCCATATGGAATGTGAGGATCATATTTTATAAGAAAACAATTTTTGAAAATGCATGACAACCGATTGCTCAATCTCAGATGTAAATATTGTAAATGTTTTTCCCTGTGTGCCAACAAAGGATGTTGTAGCACTTCAATGCAACTTGTTTACCTTGAATCCCTGGGAAGCCACATCAATGTAAAACTATATTGTGCACATGTATGTTTTATGCAGATGGACGTTGCTGTGTGTGTTGACATAATTCAACCAACTACTTTTGCGTACAAGAATGGTTTTTGTACAATTTACTTGCACATATCTGTATTTTTGGCTGCATACGAACACATGTCTGAACTGGGGGGATTTTTATGCAGAACCGTGGACTTTGAAAATCATCTCACAGCCAGTATAGAGAAGTAGAATGATTGTAGCAACAAGGAACTTTTCTTTGGCATGTGAGTATTGTATTAAGAGTTGAATCTAATGTGAATCTAATTATTTTTGGTTCAACTATCCCTCCAACTCTGTTATGACACATCTGGATTGTTTGTGCTGTCTAAACTAAATCATCCAGAATGTTGAATTTGTAACCTGACATGTACAAAGTGCCATAATAAAGAAAGCTGAATCAAATTTTAGCATCAGAGTGTCTCTTGTATTCATTTACTTTCAGAGGTGGACGGCCCTGAAGGGACATTGATATCATAATAAGCTGAAAAGCAGTGGGATGTTCGGAAAAAGATGCAGATGCACACATTTTTGTTTTTACATTAAAACTAAAGAAATAGAAATGCAAATCTAAAACTGTCCCTTTAACTCAATTTGTCAAGTAAAACCTGCTTTTGAGGATCAACTTCAATGTGCAGGGACTTAAGGACATCTAGTGGTGAAGAAGGATTATTCTAAACGTTACAAAGAATGATGAAACTGCTGCAGACACTTAAACTATTTGAATAGATCTCTAAGATTGCCAAGATTAACCCAGCTCTTTGTCAGTTCATTCCCTGTAATTGGGAAAGAGGTAAAAATAAGAGATGGGATGTCCGGCGACAATAACCAGCAGAACCAATTAAACTGGCCGACAAGGATCCTAATAAACATACATGCCCTTCAGAGAAAAGAGTTATGTTATTTGAAAGTGTGTTGAAGCTTATCCAAAATCATTATGGGCAAACAAAGTTTTATTAGCAGGTTGGTTGATATAAAGCCACTAACAAGGAAGGCATCTGTGTGTAAAGCAAATCAGTCGGCTTGTAATTGTCAATCTGTTTGACACTAAAATCACTCCCATATGCAGTGATGACCATCTCCTCTGTTGTGGATCTACTGCATTCCCTTCTCCCCAGACTACAGTAATATTATATATATATATATATATATATAAATAAATAAATGAGCCAATCAGATTCTAGGACATGAAAGCTGCTGAGATAATGCAAAACAGCCTCTCACTATACATTAGTGACCTCAGGTGCTTAGCTTTTTATCAGCTCTAATGTTCGGGAAGGATAAATCAAACTATTTTACTGATGCAGCAGCTGTTCTGATCCTGATGGAGTTGAAACTTAAAACAGGAGATAAAAAAAACTTTTGACATGAGCCAAATTGTTATCTTTAAAAAAATATATTTAATGTACTGTGCAAGCTTAAGTAATACTAACATCACAACGATTCATGAAAATGACTTTTGGTAACACTGTACAGACACGTGCATTTGATAATGACCTACTGCACTTTAATGCCTGCTCCAGCACAGCTGATGTACATAAATGGGACTTTAAGCTCTGCAGAAGGCTGATGGAGACCCATTTCTCTGAACCGAAATATCAATATTGCTACTGTAGGCATTTTAATTAATCACCAGGTACAGTATTTCTGTCTCATTGCCTGAACTATGACAACAAAAAACATTCTTAAAAGCCAAAAATGATCAAAACTGATAAAAACTCTGCAGCCTAGTACATGTATAATATAGCAGGAATGTGTAGTGGGATGTAATGGTGTGATGGGATTTTTTCTGTGACTAAAATTGCCATATTCTTCAGGACTTGGTTTGGTCACTATTCTGGGAATATGACCTGATTCAGGTAATTACAAACAGCTGTTCAGATAACAATCGCATTCACAGAAAAATCTGCTAAATATCAGAATATTAATGTTTATGTAAATACTGTCTCTGTAGATGACATTTATAGATACTACATACACCTAAGATGAAAAATTCTAGCTTTAGGAAGTGGGATATTCTCAAACAATTTTGACACTCAGACTGAGGGAAAAAAAAAAGAAATAAAAAGAAAAGAAAAAATAATATCACTGATGCAGCAATATGTATGCTACATATGCTGTAACTGATGCAGCAATGTTATCCTCCACTCAAAATGCAGTGGTTTGATCCTTTTTTAAAATGCTCGATGCAAATGTGATAGTGGTGTTCTCACCTTGCCATGAAGATTTAACATTCATGAATACTGTGATCTTTATTTAATCACACAGGCATTAAAAATGTGTTGCCTTTGAAACATTAATGAGCAGATTTCTCCAAAGTGTTAAAAGCTTCATCAGGTTTAAAGGTGATGTGCATAATAATGATCCTCCTAGCCTGAATAGAACATCTTGAAAATTGGAGATTTGATATATCAAACATGTAATATTTCATTTTAACTGATGCAACAGGAGATTGAGCACAAATAAATCAAAACAGACTCAAGCTTTAGTTTGTTTGGTATGCTTTTGTTTCTTTACTGATGTACATTTTTTACTGTCACCCAAGAAAAAGGTAATGAGTTTCATTTTGAGAAATTTCCATTCAACTTAACAATTCAAATGTCAAGTGTCACCTGACACCAAAGAGATGAGAATGTGATTATGGAAGACCGAAATGAAGATATATGACAATGAAGTACTGACACAAAGTGCTCTGGGGCCCTTCCATTGTTCATTATACTATTCAAATCAATTTTTCGAAACTCAAACTTTGGAGAAGTTCATAATATAGAGATGATACATGATAAATAACTGAATATGAATTTAATTAAGAGTACATAACGTCTTAGCTCAGCAATCATTCTGAATGTATTGTAAAAATGACTCCATCTTGAACCGAGAGATGACATTCAGTTAATTTTTCTTTGAATCATGCAAATGGTTTAATAAGTGGAGTGTGAGAGCTTTTCAACTTACAGATCAGAGTTTGAGTTAATTAAAGCCCATCACAAGAAAATGGCAATATAATTCTCATGTTTTCTTACATTTGCTGCACTTCAAATCTGAAAAGAAGGCTGTCAGGCTCTAAACGTCTACTCTTACCCGGTGCCGTCTTCTCTGTGTGGATGTTTGCATTATTGAGTAAACAGTGACAGTTTGTCGTTAGCTCACCTGCCTAGACTGCCAGATCCTTTTTGGGCTGACAGGTGTTGCCAATCAGCTGATTACTCAGCAGCAGGGTGAGTCTAGTTCAGGGACCGTGTGTAAAATAAAGCTTCTGCCGGTAGTGGTGGTTTCCACTGGTCAACAATGTGTTTTAAGAAAAACTGACAGTGTTATGAAGTCTGATAGAGTAACAAATCCTGAGCATGTGCATTCAGCTCTGTCTGGCTGTTCGTTTTTCGATGAAAATATCAATCTGATGTACATATTTGACAAATTACCGTCGGATTTGTGTAATCTAATGCGTCTCACTGAATTATTTTCTAATCATTTAAATGACTTCTTCATTATGCGATCAGAGCAGACTGGGGAGAAGACAGTGATGGCTAAATCATACGGGGCGTTTTCTCACCACTAGATGGCAAAAGCAGAGCACAGGCAGCCCACGCTGGGACAGATCTGAAGACATTTCCAGCGTAAACCTGGACTGTAATGATGAACCTCACAGCAGTCACCATCAGGCACAGAGGGCCGTGCCATTTGTCGACTTGTGCTCTGAGATATGGGATGAAATTAAAAGCTTCCAAATACATATTTCTCGGGGGTGGTTTGCTGATAAAGGTCACGTGTCATTGAATCCGAACATCTGGTCATAATAGCACAAAAGCAGCAGCTTGCCTCTCTTCTATTTTGCAATCTAATCTGTGCTGCCTCTTAGGTGCTGTACCCCACAGAGACCACACAGTGATCTCCCCAAATTACTTTTTTCATAATGCGACAGGATAGAAGACGTTTCTCAGTGATGGATGAACCCGAAAGCAAATGATGGCAATTGCGGAGACTCTTCTTTTCTCCTCAGGTTTCCCTCGGGTGCTTTTCTTTATTACTCTGG